GTTCTCTCCCCGGCGTCGTGGGAGGGGAGGTGAGGGCTGGTGGGTAGAGCAGGGGGGCTTGGAGCCAGGACTCCTGGGTTCTCTCCCCGGCGTCGTGGGAGGGGAGGTGAGGGCTGGTGGGTAGAGCAGGGGGGCTTGGAGCCAGGACTCCTGGGTTCTCTCCCCGGCGTCGTGGGAGGGGAGTGAGGGCTGGTGGGTCAGAGCAGGGGGGCTGGGAGCCAGGACTCCTGGGTTCTCTCCCTGTGCTTCCAGTCTGTGAGCTGTCTCCCTTCTCTGGCCTTAGAGTCCCGGATTCACCTGCTGAAATGGAATGTTCCTGTACAAAAGGGAACTGTAAGTTTGGTACGAATCTCCCCACGTAACCCACCCGGTCAGGAGGGGGGTGATCCCAGCCCGGGGACCCTGTGGCGGGGACAGGTTTTCGACCAGTGGTAATTTTTGAGGGGCAGGTCTGTGTGAGAAATGCCAATTGTGCGACAGCTGAATATCACTGAATCTGCCTCGGTGGTGCCCAAATTCTTCATTTTGGGGGTGTGGGGGGAGACTCCCTGATGCTCAGAAAAACTCAGAATGGGGCTGGGCGAAATGTCCTGCAGGGCTGGAGGGACCATGGGCGGTCGTCACGGGACCGAGTGTCACGGAGTATTGGGGAACTCAGGGCCCTGCACCCCCGGCTTCCTGCGATTCACCATGACTCTCAGCCAGCCAGTAAAGCAGAAGGTTTATTTGGATGACAGGAATACAGTCCAAGACAGGTCTTGCAGGCACAGACAACAGGACCCCCCCAGTTAGGTCCAGCTTGGGGTCCCAGGGCATCCCAGCCCCCCTCAGTTTGGGGGGTCAGAGCCCCGTCTGCCTCCCAGCCATCTCTCCAGCCTGCTTCCAGCACCCTGCCTTCAGCGACCCCTCCCACAGCCTTTGTTCAGTTTCCCGGGCCAAGGAGTCACCTGGCCTCCAACCCCTTCCTGGGTTCTCATGTTACATGCTCAGGTATTCGCCCTCGGGCAGATCCCATCCCCCAATGCAGACTATCCTAGCCACACTCCCCTGTCAGCATTCACAGACCACAGTAAGAACAGTCCCAGTTCGTCACACCGAGCCAACCTAGACCTGGTCCTTAACCGCCCGGGACGGGGATCCCACGTCCCGCCTGTGGACGCCGATTCCAGAGCTGAACGGCCCCGAGACCTGGAAAGTTTGGCCTAATATCCAGCCAAAATCGCCCTGAGGAACCTCGTTACGTCCCCTCCTGCGGGGACAGAGAACCAGTGACCCCGGCCTCCGTAAAACCCCTTCACAGACTGGGGCAGACCCGTCTCAGCTGCCCCCTCCGCATGCTTATCAGGCCCGGGTGGTTTTTAACCTCGCCAGGTTTTCTAAAACGTGCTCCGTTTTGTGCCCGGCGTGGGGCTCGTTTTCTAAGCCCTGCCCCGTCCCGCCCCGCAAGGCCCCACTCCCGCCCGCGCCTGGCCTGGTTCTTGCGGTGTTAGCCTGATCCCACCCGCCAAAAATCTCACATCCCGCAAGAGAGACAGAGTCGCCCGTGCGCCTAAAAGAGAGAGAAAAAGTCAGTGATTAGATCATGTATATAAACAGAATTCAGTCACCTGCTGGTCTCTATTCATTAAACAGCTGCTGGTCTCTATTCATTAAACAGCTGCTGGTCTCTATTCATCAAACACCTGCTGGTCTCTATTCATCAAACAGCTGCTGGTCTCTATTACGTTCCCGGGTGTCGTGCTTTGCCTTGACTGAATTTCACAGTGTTGAATCCAGCCCCAGCCCCAGTTTCTCACGGTGGTTTTGGCCGCTCCTCCTGCCAGCCCCTCCCGGTGGCGTGGCAGCTGCAGATTTGACCAGTGTCCTCGCCAGGCCCTGGTCCCCAGCACAGGTCTGGGGGGCAGCCGGGGGGACGGGAGCCGGGGGGCCCAGCACTGACCGCCTGTCTGGTGTTTGGAAGGTGGAAACTGCTGCATCCCGTTCGAGGGAGTCGTTGCCGCGGCAGCCGGGGGGTTTGTCATGCTGGTTCTGATTCTGGTGCTGTCCGTCTGCCTGTGCCGGGTCCGGAGACGAGGTGAGCGGGGGCTGCGGGTTAGAGCCGGGGGGGCTGGGAGCCAGGACTCCTGGGTTCTCTCTCAGGCTCTGGGAGGGGAGTGGGGGCTGGCGGGTTAGAGGCAGGGGGGGCTGGGAGCCAGGACTCCGTGGGTTCTCTCCCCGGCTCTGGGAGGGGAGTGGGGGCTGGCGGGTTAGAGGCAGGGGGGGCTGGGAGCCAGGACTCCGTGGGTTCTCTCCCCGGCTCTGGGAGGGGAGTGGGGGCTGGCGGGTTAGAG